CTTTCAGGTTCACAACTCAAGCTAAAGTTAAATTAATTGTCGTTGTTTTAAGAATATCAAATTGTGATTCAAATACCGGAAGAAAGAAAAACAAATCTAAGAAACAATTTCATGGTGATACTATTAACTGTAAAGTACCCATGAAAAAAATCTAAAGAATGCGATGTCAAAAGTTACTTTATATCAAATAATATATTTCATACATAGTAACATTTGACCTTATAATTACATGTTTCGGAATAATGAGCTTCATATCTATCATTTCAAGTACAATTTTTGTTTTTGGAAATGAAATTCCAAGTGATTAGAAGATAAAACAGAAACTCAAAAATGTATGGAAACGATGCATGACGTTCCAAGATATTAATTCCTAAAATTTAAAGCACACCCTCAAGCAAATATCCAGATTGGCTCCATAAGTAGAAAAATAATTTAAGAGATTAACAAAAACTTGTACTGCTAATTGTAGAAGTGCCTGTACACACAACCATAAAAGTAAATTTATTACTCCAACTTAAACTGGTATTTTAAAATTGACATGTACGCCTTTCTTGGAGAAATACAAAAAGAGAGGTTAAAAGCTGCTATAAAATAGTAATGTTTCTTTTTTCGAAATCGCGCAGTAATCTTTGAGTATATATATTAATATATATACTCAAAGGCAGTAATGTGCTTTTCCTATGTTCAAAAATTGGCATAGAAATTAAATGCGGTGTTGTCATATTAGTCTTATCTACCTCCACAATTAGATTTTACAAGGTTATAAATTGTTTTTCGGTTTAGCAGTAATTCTATACTCTTTGTTAACCCTTTTTATTAGTTATTAGAAACACATCCGGTTTATTATTTTTATAAATATAATTTATTAACTATATTTGCGCGTAATCTCGCAACGTCGCAACCTTGCATGGCAACAGCGGATTTCGTGAAGTGCAGCGACATTCTATGGCAGCGAACAATGTGTATTATCCACATGGAGGAAGGAATATAATGGAGGGAGTGCGCCGTATCTCGGCAATGTAAATTCTTGGCACCAGTGCAAGCACCTTTTATTACTCTTTTCAATTAGCGCGCCCTTCACCGCGCATGCTTACTTTAATAATTTCATCAGCCAGCACTGACCAGTGTCGTACGATTCTGTTTTTGTCATTTTCGCTTTTAACCTCGTGTTTAGTGTGAACGTTTTGTTTTGAATTTGCGATAAGCGTTTCATGTTTATTTAAAAACTTAAAATGGTTAGTTGCAAATTGTGTAAAGTTACGAGTGGCTCCAGGTCAACAATTGGTAGAGAAAAAATAACGTTTCACAGGTGTGTCGTATTTTTTCGTTTAATATTTGCTTAAGAGGGACTAATGAATATTTTTGAATTGCTTTTAGGTGTCCCCAGAAACCTGAATTAAAGAAACTGTGGACAGACTTCCTTTATCTTCACCTAGGAAATTCTGTGTCTGTGAACAACTTTTTCCTGTGTTCATTTCATTTTGAAGAAAAGTGTTTTGATAGAACATCAGCCCAGAAAGTAGCTTTAAGACCACATTCAGTACCAACTATTTCTTATACTTATGAAGAAAGGGTATTAAATAAACTCACATGCTGCATGATATAACAATTAATACATATATTTATTTTAGATTACCAATGTAGTGACCTTTAGAGGCAATGAAACGCATCACACAGAAGTTTGTGACGCACCTTCGGTAGAGCCTCAACAGAATATAGAAGATGAATTGTCTAATAAAGTTTTTGAAATTACAAAGAAACTTGAAAATTTAACAACAAAAACATGTGCAAACGTTTTACTGAAACAACAAATTAACAACCTGAAGACATTAGTGTCACAACAACAATGCACTATTAAAACGTTAAAACGCAGAACCTCAAAACAGCAACGCAAAATTTGTAATCTGAAAGATGTTGTTTCAAGTTTAAGGAAGAAAATCAACTATTATGAAAACAACAGTGTGGATGTTAATAAATTTCAGGAAAATACAGAACTGTTGAGCAGAATGTGGGCTAAAATTAACAACAAACCATTGCCAAATCAATATGGGCCAGAAATAAGAAAATTTGCTGTTACAACACATTTCTACTCCCCAAAGGCTTTTTCTTTTATAAGAAAACAATTCATGGACTGTCTTCCACACCCAAAAACTTTGTCTGTATGGTATTCTTCAGTGAATGGTGCACCAGGTTTCACAAGTGAGGCATTCGATGTGTTAAAAGCAAAGGCTGAAGAACGTAAAATTGTGTTCTTTAGTGTTCGATGAAGTTGCTATTAAACGCTGCATTGAATATGATGGGCAACAATATTATGGATATGCTGATATGGGTAGTATAATCGAAGTAAATGAGAATGAAGAGGCCAAAGAAGCTTTAGTTTTCATGCTGGTTGCTATAAATGGCTCTTGGAAAATCCCCGTGGGTTATTTTTTAAGCCATTCTTTAAATAGTGAGCAAAAATTAGGTTTACTAAAACAGTGTTTATTTTTAGTAAAAAGTGTAGGAATTGAAATTAGCAATATTACATTTGATGGTTGTGCGACAAATTTGTCAATGGCATCTGCATTAGGTTGCTCATTTAGCCCTTCTAATTTGAAAACAAACTTTGGTGAAGAGAATATACTTCTTTTACTTGATCCTTCACACATGATGAAATTAATACGTAACACATTTGGTGACAAAAGAAGAATAGTCGATGGAGAGAATAATGTTATTGATTTTAAATACTTAGAACTTCTAAATGAACTGCAAGAAAATGAAGGGCTGCACCTTGCAAACAAACTACGTAGAAGACATATAAATTTTTTTAAACAAAAAATGAAAGTTGCTCTAGCTACACAGTTATTAAGCAGGTCTGTCTCTGAAGCTTTGACGTTTTGTCGAGATATTTTACAGCTTGATCAGTTTAAGAACTGTGGAGCAACGGCTACCTTCATTTTAAATATTAATGACGCTTTTGACATATTGAATTCGCGCAGAATAAAGGAATTTGGTTACAAGCAAGCATTAAATAAGTATAATATTAATCAGGTAAAAACGTTTGTGAATTGCTTTACTTCGTATATATCCAAATTGAGATTTTTTAACAAAGATTTAATTATTCACTCGCCCCGTAAAACAGGTTTTATAGGTTTTGTAGCTGGTTTACATGCAGTATTAAATATTTATGAACAATATGTAGTGGGTGATGGAGGAACGTCAATTTTACAGTATCTGCCCACCTATAAATGCAGTCAAGATCATTTGGAAAATTTTTTCTTCCAAATTAGAAATTTAGGGGGCTGCAATAATAACCCTACTACTCGTCAGTTTAAATCTGCATATAAAAAATTATTAATACACGCAGAAATAAATCACAGTGGTTTTGGAAACTGTGTACCCTTAGAGCAAGTAAATATTTTGACATGTTCGTCTCGAATTAAAAAACTCGAAAATATTATTAATTCTGATCAATTGATATTAACGAGTGACGTACAAGTTACTCAGGAAAGTGACGTTAATTTTGAACATAATTATTTCTTTACGCAGGAATCTTTAACAAATTTTTGTGAGGAAGTTGTCATTTACATTGCTGGATTTGTTGCTTTTAAATTAGCCAAATCTTTGAAATGTGAAATATGTATATCATGCCTTTTTGGTATAAAAGAGAACTTATTAGGAAGTTTTGTTGATTTCAAATCAAAGGGGGGATTGAGCTATCCTAGTGACGATGTGATTGCCATTTGCGTACAAAGTGAAAAAACTTACAGAACACATGAGCGAGTACATACCAAACTTAGTAAATGCAAAATTGTAATTGACATCATTGAAAATTTAAACTGTGAGAAATTGCTTCATAGAAATCACCCCCATACATCTTTTTTGTTGAAAGAAATAATTAATATTTATTTGAATTTGCGTATAAAATACAGTTGTAAAAGTAAGTCTTATTTAGTAGATTCTGATAGGCAAAGATATACTAAGTTGATTCATTTTAAAGGGCAATAAAGTTACAAAATGTGGTTTATTTAAAAAAAAAATGTAAACAACATGTTAAGTTTTATTATATGGAGAAAATCTAAAACATATTTGATTGCGTTGACGTTTTACTTTGTTTCTTCTTATATATATATTTTTTATTCTTATACTATTTTTCAGAAAAGTATCAAACCTTTAGTTGAAACGAACTCATCTTTGTAGTAATCCTGTATTCTTTTTATTTAAATTGTATGTATTTCCTTTAAGTGAATTTATCTTTATTTTGTAATATTGTATTCTTTTAATACCCTATAAAAACATATATGTTATTTATGTTATTATTATCTAGTACATATTTGTAAATTAATATTAATTATTATACAAATTATAAAGTACAGTTCTCTTACTGCCTTTTAATAAAATTATTTTAAGACCCACCGCTAACCCGAAAATGACTGGCATTGAGGCAACATTTCTATGATTACTGGTACTAAGACCAAGTAATGATATGCATTGATTGGATTAATAAAAAAAAAATCGAGCTTCTAGAATTACAACATATACAAATTCGTCTGTTATTCTTTAACCTCACCCTATCCCCAAAACCTTAGCGTAACTACCAGTCATTTATAATTTTATATAATGATTTTATTATTCTTGGCTAATGTTTTTTCTTTATAATATTATCTCCTTAAATGTTATTCCAAAGATCTCGCAACAATTATGCAGCAAAAATTAAAACTTTGATGTGAATTTGGGTTTTTTGTTGATTATAATTATACAAAATAAATTTCTATGAGTAAAATTCAAATTTTAGATATTCTAAAAAAAATATTTGCATTGAATATAATTTTGAGTAGTGGGACCCCTTATGAATACTATTAAGATACGCCACTGAAGCGGCAGCCATATTGAAGCACCTTTTATTGCTTTCACGCATTTTGGCGCGGGATCACTTATTTGAACTCTCACTCCCTCCATTATATTCCTTCCTCCATGATTATCCACCACGTATCCACATAACCTGTAATAAGTTATTTGTTCGGTGCAGAAACAACCATGGAAAACATTATATGGAGAATATCTCATTGCATACGAGTATTTCGCTGAAAAAGAAAATTCTGTGAAATCAACATTTTGGGCTACATAGTCGTTGTTAAAGTCAACTCTGTTAATATAAAACAGCATAGATATAATCTAAGTACACCAAGTTCTCAAGCAAAAAATATAGGTTATGTTTCCCAGAAATCAAATATAGTTACAAGAGAAAACTTACGAAAATTTTTAACAGAGGCCCGTGATTAATGTACCTAATGTCAAAGGTAATCTCAAAGAAGGTCAATCACATTGTCTACAAAACATAATGTTTTAGGTATATTTTTTATTCGAAGTTGTAGGAGTATGCGGAATGGAAGAATTTGAACAATTTTCTTGTATCTACATAACCTATAATAAGCTTTTATTATTATTACAGAACAGATTATTAGCTTACATGCCCATTTTAAATGAAAGTATGAAGCATACCTCTTATTTTTTGGCACTTTTAATAATATTTTTGCTTGCAGAAAGATCTGCAGCAATTGCAAAATAGAGATGGATAGCTATAATAACAAGAAGTTTACATGCATTCAACCGAACTTGCAAAAACTGGCAGATAAAATATCAAATTTATTATCCAAAAACTCGGCCACAGTTTATGAAAAGCGGTATGAAAAATTTTTTTTTCACTAGCAGCCAGGACGCATGCAAATGTCGACTCATTTAGTGGTAGCAAATTCAACTTTTGCTACCACGGGTTCAAAAAGAAAAACTGAGGTTATGTACGAAATGTTTGATGTGATTATTTCTTAAAAAATGAACAAATTTGTGCTACAAACATTACTTGAGTATACGCATGGTAGTTGGTAGACGGTAGAAGATAAAATGATTAACTCAGCGACAAGTATAAACGGTTTTCTTTGTGTTGAAGATTTAGATTAAGTTTGGTTAGAAATCAAAACAAAATCATGTTGCGTCAAAAAATTGAACGTTTATTTTTTCAATTTATTGTCTTATGGTTTCTACTAGTGAAAAAAATAGTATATTAACCACGATTGCAAAGCCACTTCTAGACCTCGCGCTTCAGAGCCCTCGACGCTGCGCGTCTCGGGTTCTAATTTGCGCTCGGTCTAGAATGCTTGGCTCTGCAACCTTGGCTAATAATATACTATTTTTGGCGCAGAAACAACCATGCAAAATATATGGAGAACACCTCATTGCATACGAGTATTTCGCTGAAAAAGCAAATTCTGTGAAATCTTTAACACTTTGGGCTGCATAGTTGTAGTTAAAGTCAACTCTGTTAATAAAAAACAGCGTAGATGTATCTAAGTACACCAAGTTTTCAAGCAAAAAATATAGGTTACGTTGCCAAGAAATCAAATATATTTACAAGAGAAGACTTAACAAAATTTTTAACAGAAGCCCGTGATTAAATGTACCTGATGTTAAAGGTGATCTCAAATAAGGTCAATCACATTGTCTATAAATCATTATGTTTTAGGTTTATTTTTTATTAGAAGTTGTAGGAGCATGTGGAATGGATAAATTGAAAAATAATGACGGCATTCAAAACAAAAACGATACGCTAATAATTAAAATTCCAACGTCTAAAACTGGCAAAGCACGAGAATTTACAAATATGTGTAAAAATATTTATCCAATTGAAATATAGTAAAAATACCTAATTTTAAGACCGCACCATACACCAGACAAATCATTATTTATACATTACATTTGGATAGTGAATGCAGCAGCTCCTGCATTGTACAAATATACCTGCAAACACACTGTAACAAATTATGCAGACACCTCTTTTGACTAAAAGATATGTATTTAACTTTATCCATACGTTGTCAACTTTGTTAATAATTGCAATCTTTAACTTCATAAGAAATATGAATAATCTACTTTGGTGTTTTATAGTAGTATTAAATGTTCATAGAATATAATTGCACTTACTACGAAGTAAGCTTTCCTAGTTTTAAGTTGTGTTTTCTTTTCTCTTTGATTATCTTAATTTCTTCAGCCTCTATGTGGCTGTTTTAATTCCAAAAAATTGTTTCTGAATAAACTCATTCATACCACTTTTTCTTTCTTTTACTCGAAAACAGTTTAAACTATAACTCCAAATATTTACCTGCTTTAAAATGTGTCAAGCATTCGCTTGTTGTAAATGATGCAACCATAAATACAAATTTGAACACTGATATGACAGGTTTGAGGCCTTTGAGTATATATATTAAATGGAGGAGGAGTGTTGTAGTCCCCACCACCGAAAATTGCAGGACAAGTGGCCGCCATATGCAAAGGTATTACAAGCGCGCTTTTTGAATAAAAGCAGGGATGCTAACAATCTGAAGTCATTTCATAATTGATATAAAATGATTGACAACAAAAACAAAAAAATGGTTGGGCAATTAAATTAAAAAAAAAAAACGCCGTTTGATAGCTAATATTTATTTTATTACACGAAGACACACACGTTTTAGACTAAAGTCATTAGTTAATGCAATTAACATACAATATTTGTGAAATAAACTTATCAAAATATTAGTCTTAATTTATTGATTTTTAAATAAAATGAGTTTATTAAATTTATGTCGTGACGTACACTTTTGTTGGATATTGGCTTTTTTAGCAATATAGCATAATCTAACTTTCAAATAAATTTCTATTATTTGTTTTACTAACTGGTAGATATGGTTTTCATTAAAAGTTTGATTTTCGACATGATTCTTTAAACATTCAAAAATATTGAAACCAATGGAACGATATGTGACAGCCGTTAGTTTACGGAGGACCTGATCAACATTTGGTGGTTTATTTTCAGTTATATGAAAGGCATGCCTACATATTTTTTCTGTTTGTAAACAAATTTTTATAACATCTGGGGAAGGATATACCAGCCCGCCACGACTTTTCACCTTTATCAAAGAATTTTCATTGACTGTAGTAGCTTCTAATGCACGAGAACACTGACTGCAATTGATGTTTCTCTTAAGTTTTTGAACTATGAAACCAGCAACATATTCAATAACATTTTCTGCATATAATGTCAACTGATTAAAATCTGGAAAATCTACGTCATCTTCGGTATTAATGACCTCTGGGAATAACTTGTATCGTTCAATGACGTCAGTAAAATTATGATCATAAATAATTGATGAGTAATTGTGATCATTCCTGCAGTCAGATGTACTTGGAACACTCAAGCTTTCGTAGTCCTTGGTTTTCTGGTCACTACTTACACTATTTAAAATTGAAGTGTTATCTAATGCTAAACAATTTGTTTTAGTATGTTTAAGCTCATGGTGTACCAATAGTCGTTTATAAGCTGAAACAAATTGCACACATGAGGGATTGTTGTTGTATCCACCACGAGACCTAATTGCAGAGAAAAATAGTTCCAAATGGTCTTGGCTCATCTTATAAGTCAATACGTATCTAGAAATCACAGTCATGATATAAAGTCGAACAGTTATACTATACCATTTTCAGATACCTCAAAGGTCCATCAGCATGAACGTATTTTTCAAATATTCCTATAAAACTTTTAATTAAAATCATAAAACCTAAAATGGAAGTTTTCCGTCGAGATGACAAAACGCTTTGTCCATTTTGTAATTTTAATTTTGAAATGTATAGAAAGGCATCATTTAGGAAAGGTTTCCAAACATGTTCGTTATTTATTCTGAGAGGCGCTTTGAAGTATTTTCCTAAAGCATTCCTCGAATTGAATATGTCAAACAGCCTACACAAAATAAAGGAAATTACATATTATTAAATTCGGTCTTTATATATTGATTACATTTACCTGTCAAATGTTTCTAAAAATTTACATGTCGCTTCTGAATTAGCGAACATAGGGAGTTTCAGATTTTTTCGGCAATGAGTGATACTTGCAGCAACACTTGCTGATATAGTTTGAACTGCAATGCTAACATTCATTGGATGTTGCTTCCAATTGATGTGTCGGGTTGATAATTTATTGCCTAAATGTAAGCCTTCCTTCTCTTGCAAATCGTTTAACTTTATGATAAAGTTAACATTGATTTCCTAGAAATTACAAAGTTAGTACAGAGTCAATAGCACAATATTACATATTACATTTCCATCCCCATCAAAAAGCACTTTTTCCGCAAACAGCATGTTTCGTAATAATTTCAACATGTGGCAATTATCTAAGAGAAAATATATTTGAACATTGTCTATTGTAAGTAATGAATTGAACTTTTCTATGTCTGTTGTTAGACCAAATTCTTTCGCCATTGCTATATTTGTAGAAGGACCATCACAAGTAATAGATACAACTTTAACACCAGTACTTAAAACATTCTGCACTACCAACGTTGTAACATTTACTTTTTCCATGGCACTTAAAGTTGTAATAAAAAAATACGCAATTGGTATTTTCCAACTGCCGTTTAGGGCGACGGCCATATATACTAACACATTACTTGCTAAAGGCAAAGATTCGTCGTCCAATTCAGTACCCATATCAATATAACCCCTCATTTTTTCTCCATCAAAGTCCAAAGACTTTATAAAACTTCCACAGCACGAAAACCAGACGAATATCGAAACGAATTCTACAACTAAAGTCAATTACTAGGTTAATTCCTAAATAAATGTATTTACTCACTTTGACTGAAAATTAAGCTGTCGCTAAACACGATTCAAAATACCAAACACCAAAAAAACAGCACATAAACAGCTAAAATGTTTACAAAATCACGAACAGCTGTTTACTGTCAATAGTAGGTTCCTGCGCAGATCGGATGAGTTTACCTTCCAATATGGCGGCATTCTATCTTTCCCTTTCCAGTACTTTAATCCCCCTCCATTTAATATATATACTCAAAGTTTGAGGCTAGGATGTGGTTTTCATATTCTCCCATTACTTGTTGCCTAAATCTGGCGCGAGGCCAAAAGTTATCATTGACGTATATATATATATATATAACAAATGATAACCAACACAGAAAAAGCTTACATTTGCATTTTCTTCCCCTTGGTCGTATGTATCAGAAAACACTCGTTTTTTTGTTTTGTGAACCTCATCCATTGCTTCAGGAATGTGTGGAGAAGAGGTGGCAATGGGCACCACATTATCGTTTTCATGGTCTTCGTTATCTTCTTCACCTACAGTGTTCCGGTTCGAAGTTTGTTAATATTTTGTTTTGATTTTGTTTGTTTTCCCGCGGATTGCTGACAAGTGTATTTTGGTCACTTTCCACTAGAGGCGCCATAGTACCGAGCAAAAGGGCCCGGTACTTGGGGTTGGCGCTGTTATCGAACAGAGTTATCGAAAAACCCTCAGAGAGGTAACATCGCTAAGGTGGGCGTTAAGTGAACGCAGTTGCCATCTTGTGTGACGTCAATCGCGAATTGTTGTCGCGAAACTTAGACACGTGGTTCCTTTGTGCATGCGGTCTACAAACCCTCAACCCAGGAGGCTGAACAAAACAAGGTAGGTGACCTTTTGATGCGTTTGTCAGCTTCGATCCAAATTTTAATATTATTTTTTTGGAATTGTAAAATCGCCGCGAAAAAAAAGGTGTTTTCAAAGCCTTTACGTCCAACATATGGTCCTTCGAGCCGGATTTAGAGTAATTACGAGAGATTTGTAGATTCCAGCACAAATTTGTTGTAGTTTTGCTAAGCGTGATTAGCACGCATTTTCATTTGATTTTCAAATTATCGAAATACTTAAATTCGAGCTTACATAATGGCTACCGTCGCCGCGCTAAGTAATGGACGCGCTAGTTTGATCAAACGCGTGGAAGCTTTAGTGAATCTATCGCAACAAGCCAGAGTCCACGAAACTGTACGAGGAGAGTTTTTTATTCGAGCTGCGAACTTAAACCATATTGTTGCCCAGTTTGAGCAGCGACAGTTGCAAATTGTCGAATTATGCACCACCCCTGAGGAGCTAGACGAACAATACGAGGTGCAATCAAGATTTGACGATATGCAGTATTCAATTAAATCGGTTGCAGCGGAATTAAATCGCGAGGCCGCGCAGTCATCCGCACCCAGGGGCAATTTAACATCAAACAACGTCAAATTGCCCAAAATTCAAATTCCGACGTTTGACGGTCAGATCAAAAACTGGCCCACATTTTATGATTTGTTTCGGTCGCTTATCCACAATAACCCAAATCTTAGCGCAATTGAAAAATTTCAATATTTGTCGACGTCATTGTCTCGCGAGGCGTCTACCGTCATCAAAAATTTGCCGATTTCGGCGGCAAATTATGCTATCGCATTCGATGCGCTGGTGGCGCCTTATAACAATAAGCGCGTATTATTGACAAATTATTGGCAAGCGATCTATAGTGCACCCAAAGTGAATGGAGATTCGCCGAGTTTGTTGCGAAATTTGTTAAACGTGTTCTCGGAAAATTTGGCCGCGTTGAAGCAGTACGATGAAGTCGATTTGTGGGACTTCACCTTGTTAAATTTAATGTTACAAAAACTGGACACCACGTGGAAACAGAAATTTGAGTTGAGTATTGTAGGAAATTCCGTACCTGCTTACAATGACCTCCAAGAATTTTTGCTTAAACATTGTACTGCGTTGGAAACTTCCGTTATGACAATGGGTCATAATTCCACATCCGCCCTTCATAAACCCACAGCTGCATCTTCCGTACCTGCTAAGCGTCCCGTGACGTCATCGTTTGTCACGCGATCACCAATCAGCAAGGAACAATGTCTTAATTGTTCAGATGAGCACCCATTAACGAAATGCGATGCTTTCTTAGAAATGGAACCACGGGATAGACATACTTTCGCGCGTAAGAAAAATCTGTGTTATAATTGTTGATCGAGGGTACATTCGGTTAGCAAATGCCCATCTAAAGTAAACTGTCGAGTATGTAATTGTAGGCATCACACATTATTACATTTTGTCCCCAAACCTAGTGCAGAGTCGGGAGAGGCGTCAGGGGTTCTACCGACGACGGTGTCAAAGTTATGACTAACGCGATTCCGACCCGTAGTTTCATTCTGCTGGCGACCGCGCAAATAATTGTGGTGGATTCGCGAGGTAAATACCGTGCATTTAGGGCGCTTTTGGACACTGCCAGCGAGGCCACCTTTGTCACAGAGCGCTGTGCAAAGGTTTTAGGGCTTCCTCAAACTAACGCGGTGGTACCTATTCAAGGCTTAAATCAAATGTCGACAAGCAGTACGTCGGGTGTATTAAAATGCGAAGTGCGGTCGCATTTAGTGCGTAATTTCTCGTTGAAGGCCGAGATGGTAGTTGTGCCTCAAATTTGCGGTGACGTCCCCACAATGGCAGTGTCTCAAGATCAGTTGAGACAATTTCGTCACCTACGCAATTTGGAATTGGCTGACCCGGAATTCGGTACACCACAGCAGGTAGACGTTTTGTTAGGTGCTGATGTTTACGGACAAATCGTTACATCCGGTTTCAAGAAAGGTAGGCTCGAGGAACCGTCCTCGTTAAATACTGTTTTCGGTTGGGTACTGATTGGGGGTATTAAACGTGATAAGCAGAAAACCGTGGTCAGGTCGTTTTGTACGTCCATAGATAACTCGTTAGACGCGGCGTTAAAACGCTTTTGGCAGCTTGAGCAAGTGCCACAACGCATTATGGCGGCCCCGCAGGACGTTTTGTGCGAAGAAAAATTCACGTCGACGATTTCACGCGACATCAAGGGGAGATATGTTGTTCAATTGCCTTTCGCAGACACGTCGCCGTCTTTAGGTCGCTCGTTTGATTCGGCGATGCGCCGTTTCCTCGCCCTGGAGGCGCGCCTCTTTCGAGACAAGTTAGCTCGGCAATCATAAAACGAATTTATGAAGGATTACATCGATCAGGGTCACATGACGGTTATTCCCCAGATTCAAGTAAACAAAAACGCGGGTTTCTATATACCTCACCATGGCATAGCGCGGACGGATCCGGATAATGCAAAATTTCGCGTCGTGTTCGATGCGTCGGCCAAATCGTCGAACGGAAATTCGTTGAACGACGTCTTACTCGTGGGTCCTAAGTTACAGGCGGACATTGGCGCCCTTTTGATGGTATTTAGAACACACAATATAGTTTTTACGGCCGATATTAGACAAATGTATCGGCAAATTGCAGTGGCGGAATCTCAACGGTTATACCAAAAAATTCTATGGCGTTTTTCGCCGGAACAACCGATCAACGAATATTATTTAAATACCGTAACATACGGGGTGTGCTCCAGCCCCTATCTAGCAATCCGAACTTTGGCCCAACTCGTAAAGGACGAAGGGCACGCGTTTCCACTCGGAGCGCAGGTACTTAAGTCATGTATTTATGTAGATGATGTGGTAGCGGGCGCATCATCTATCGAGGATGCACGCGAGACGCAAGAACAATTAATCAAATTATTGAATAAGGGAGGCTTTGAGCTACGCAAGTGGGCGAGCAATAGTCAAGGTCTTGTGAACTCAGTTCCCACAAGCCACCAACGGCCATACCAATTCCCATTAGAGAGCCCCGGAATGATTAAACTATTAGGGCTTCAGTGGTGCCCACCGGCAGACATATTTTCATATACCATTAATCCCAATAATCGTCCGTGTACCAAACGCAACATTCTATCCGAAATTGCGCGAATCTATGATCCGCTAGGTTTTCTCGCACCCCTTACGTTGATGGCTAAACAATTAATTCAGACGCTGTGGAGTATCGGCATCGGTTGGGGCGATACACCGCCGGCTGAAATTGTCCATTTATGGAATTCCTTTCAGGCTCAAGTTCCGGAATTGGGTAAGGTCTCAATACCGCGTCAGTGTGCTGATGATGGGGCCCTTACTTCTGAACTTCATGGTTTCGCGGACGCGTCGGAGCGGGGTTTGGGGGCCGTGGTTTATTTACGCCAATCCCGCCCAACAGGAGAAATTCGGGTCTCTCTAATCGCCGGAAAATCCCGCGTCGCTCCTTTGAAGACGGTTTCACTTCCACGTCTGGAGCTATGCGCTGCGGTACTAGCGGCCGACTTATTATCATTCGTCCGTGAAACTCTCAAGGGTGTTCTAAACATACACAGGGTGTATGCGTGGTCGGATTCTAAAGTTGCGCTAACATGGATTAGGTCGCCGCCCTATCGTTGGGCCACTTTTGTCGCGAATCGGGTCGCGCACATCCAAGATCTGTTGGAACCGTCGGCATGGAATCATGTGAGCGGGCGTGATAACCCGGCCGACTGCGCATCGAGGGGGTTACTCCCCCAGGAGCTTGTTACACATCCGCTATGGTGGGCGGGTCCCACATGGTTGGCAGGTACTGAGTGGCCGCCACAAATCGACTTAGAAGTTCCTACCGGTACGGAACTTGAAGCCCGGCAAAGGGTTCTCATCAGCCGCGTGATCGAAGAATGGCCGATGATCCTATTAAATCGATTCTCGTCACTTCGAAAAATTGAGGGAATCATCGCGTACTGTTTGCGTTTTGTTCAAAATTTAAGAATTCCAAAGGAGGAAAGAGAGTCGGGACCGTTACACAGGAGGGAATTGCATCGTGCCTTGTTGGTACTTGTGCGAATGGTGCAAAGTAAAGTATTTGCCAATGAAATTCGTTCATTGAAAAAGAATGGCACATGTTCAAAACCATTCCGCAAACTGTCCCCATTCCTCGACGACGGTTTGATTCGCGTCGGCGGAAGATTGCAACAATCGGAATTGCCCTATGAAGCTAAGCACCCCTTGTTATTACCGCGATCGCACCGTCTCACCGAACTAATCATAGAGGCCGCTCATCGGACACACTTGCATGTCGGATTCCGGACATTACAGTATTTGTTGTTGCGTGAATTTTGGATTCTGTCAAGCCGACGCGCCATCGAACATACCCTTCGACGATGTAACAGATGCTTTCGCGTAAATCCAAAGCCAATAACGCCGTTTATGGGTGAACTACCGAGGCCGCGAGTAACGCAAGCAAAGGTTTTCACGCACTGTGGAGTGGACTTTGCTGGCCCTTTCTCCATTACAATGGGACGGCGTCGGGGTGCGGCGCGGTTGAAGGCCTACGTCTGCGTTTTCGTCTGTTTTGCGGTAAAGGCCATCCACCTGGAATTGGTGTCTAACTTGACTTCGGAAGGGTTTTTGGGTGCATTACGTCGTTTAGTGGCGCGTAGAGGACAATGTACTGACATTTATAGCGATTGCGGTACAAATTTCGTGGGCGCCAATAATGTGCTTCAGAAATATATGCAAGCAGCGGCCGGTAGCTGCGGCATCAAATGGCATTTTAACCCCCCGTCGGCCCCCCATATGGGAGGATTATGGGAGGCGGGCGTTAAATCGTTCAAATCGCATCTTAAGCGCGTGGTAGGCGAGCAACTCCTAACATTCGAAGAATTTAGTACCGTATTGGCGCAAATTGAAGCCGTGTTGAATTCGCGACCCCTGTGTCCCGTCTCCGCAGATAACCCCGAAGATTTGTCGGTTCTAACACCCGGGCATTTTTTAACCACAGGACCGTTAGTGGCCGTTCCCGATGAACCGTTGGAAGCAATGCGGTTAAATCGGCTAAGTAGATGGCAGCTCGTGCAACGGTTGCACCAGGATTTTTGGCATAGGTGGCAACAGGGTTATCTCCATACATTGCAGCAACGAAATAAATGGAACACGTCGAATAACCTACCGTCGATAGATACGCTGGTCGTAATCAAGGGTGATTCGGTGGCCCCGTTGCAGTGGCAACTTGGCCGAATTGTCGCGCTGCACCCGGGAAAAGACGGCATAGTGCGAGTTGCACAAGTACGTACCACTAGCGGCCTGATCACACGTCCTCTAGTGAAGCTGTGCCCGCTTCCTCGTCAATAGTTTGTATATCATATTGTATTTAGTTTTAGTCATTAGTTTTTAGATTGTCAATTAACCTTATATTGTGCTGGAACCTACGTTTAAAAAAAAAAAAAATTTGTTTAATTTTCTTTTGGTGGGCGGAATGTTCCGGTTCGAAGTTTGTTAATATTTTGTTTTGATTTTGTTTGTTGTCCCGCAGATTGCTGACAAGTGTATTTTGGTCACTTTCCACTAGAGGCGCCATAGTACCGAGCAAAAGGGCCCGGTACTTGGGGTTGGCGCTGTTATCGAACAGAATTATCGAAAAACCCTCAGAGAGGTAACATCGCTAAGGTGGGCGTTAAGTGAACGCAGTTGCCATCTTGTGTGACGTCAATCGCGAATTGTTGTCGCGAAACTTAGACACGTGGTTCCTTTGTGCATGCGGTCTACAAACCCTCAACCCAGGAGGCTGAACAAAACAAGGTAGGTGACCTTTTGATGCGTTTGTCACCTTCGATCCAAATTTTAATATTATTTTTTTGGAATTGTAAAATCGCCGCGAAAAAAAAGGTGTTTTCAAAGCCTTTACGTCCAACATACAGTTTGCTATAAAAAAAAATAACACCAATTTTTATGATGCTGTTCAACTTACAAATAATGAGGTTACACTCCTCGTGGCACCGCTAGGACTACATGAATTGAATTTATTCGTTAGTTCTTCCCAGCACCGCTGCTTCTCCTTATTTGTAACAGCGTCAGTTTTTTTATTTTCTATAATATGACGCTGTTCAGTGATTAATGTTAAGACAAAGGTCTTTTCATCTGCCATAAAATTTGCTCCCCTCTGGCGCTTTGTATTATTCATCTGAAAATAAAACATATGTACATAATTCTTTACAACAAAACGTTGTAATTGTGGTACATACCTTCTTTATATTATTTTTTGTCTTGTTAGAACTTTATTCCACACTTTTCACCGCTGATTACAAAACACTCACGAACGCTGCTACTGTTGAAAGGTTGAAATGGCTAAAATGATTGCAAAATTGCAAATTTTCGATTTCCAAAACCATCAGCCAATAGAAACGAAGTATTGTTCCGTTACTATGGCTACCGCACATGCGTTGTATCGTTGTGTCTCGTTAAGCACTGCTTACAAATTTAAGCCACAGGTAAACGGGCACTTAAATTAAGGATTTCTTAGAAGGCTTTAAGAGAGAGTTAACTGTTGATGCAACACATTCTTAGTTTTAAGAAAAGCTTAAATTTTAAGTACCTGACTTAAACGTGGGTGCAAATGGGCATAAACGCCTTGATTTCACTAGTGAATCATGAACTCCTTATGAAGGTTACTGTCGAGTTAAGAATAACTAAAACTTAAACTCTGAAAGTTTTTTCATTATTATTAAAATTAATATGGAGTTTAAACACGTATCAGCCTCATTAATAGAAACATAATAATAACTATTTAACGAATAAATTTGTTAATAAAGGCAAATTAATAATTTAGTTAGTTACAATACTTTTCCGGCGATCGTAATTTTATTAAATTACTGAAAATTCAAAATATGAGTTATGTAACCAAACATACAAGTGTAATTTTTTATTAATTAACATTATTAGTTCTACAGTTCAGGAAGCACTAGGGGGCATATCTGGTTGCCTAACATCATGCATTAATAAGCCTCTTGCTCTCTTGCTTTTTTAATAAGAAAAGCTTTGATAAGTTAAACACACCAAGCTCTCCTACAACTCTCTTTTCGAGTTCTCTTCCTGTATCAATTAGTTCGATCTGAGTTTTCGTAAAGTGAAATTTAAAATTGCAAAAGTGTTTTAAAAATTATTTATCATCTGGTCATTTTAAAACGAAATTTATCCATTACTGAGAATTTTAATAGTTAAGAAATCGATAGGTTTTTGGATAATTGCCAACACCGCCGCGAATTCTCCCATATAAAGCGCATTGTCAAGTCAAACCGGAACGGAATTTGGCTTCTCAAAGTCTTGTCCAGCCCCAAGAAAACCAACTTACCGTATCTTATTGTATGTAGGTGAGGTGTTCGTGTTCGGTATCCGGAAAGGTACAGTCGCTATAGTAATCCGGAAATTGACTTGGACAACGTCTACGTCTTTATCACTGTCTAGACTTACCTACAACTCGCAAAAGTTACATAGAAACTAACATCTCCGACATACGTATACTGAAGCACATAATAGATTTGTGCTGATCTACAAATTCCAGCAAGTGTTGTAGGCATCGGAGGTAAAACAAGGCTATTGGAACCGTCCCATTTGCTGCGAGAGTGCAGCTTGACGTTGCTCCCTCTGCAAGCAAACGTCATCAAGTCGTCGAAGCCCGACTTCGAAATACCTGTATTGGAACACGAGGTGCTTCAGATCCTTGCTCACGCCCAGGACTCCTCGGTTGATGACGAACTCGCAACACTGTTCCACTTCGCTTTGATTGTCGATTTTAGCTTTACGCTTTCTTTGCAGACGTAGGCCGAGCGTTCGAGAACACAGCGGAGGCTGACGGTGCCTTTTTTGCAGCACCAGCAACTGGTACTTTTCTGAAAAATTGCAAACTGAGAAATTGAAACGATAATTGAAAATTTCGGAAGTCAACAAACTGAAAAATTGAAAAATACGAAAAATTGTGATATCAAAGAATTGATAGAATATTATAAATCTACATTTTTTGAAACATTATAAGATTTAAATCGAAAACCTAAAAATTCAGAAAAAATTGAAAAATTGGTAGACTGAATTTTTCAGTTTTTCCCGAATTTTTAGTTTTTCGATTTTTCAATTTCTCAATTTTTCAGTTTTTCGATTTTTCGATTTCACGATCTTCGAATAAAAAAATGGAAAAACTGCACAATTATAAAATTGAAAGAGCAAAAAACGAAAACTTTGAAAAATTTATAAATCAGAAATCAAGAACTTGAAAAATAAAAGAAACGTAAATTCAAAAATTGAATGAACAAAAATTGTGAAACTTAAATCGAAAAAACAAAACATGTATTGTAAAATCGATACATATATTGAAAATGAAAGAAATCGGAAACTTGGATAACTGTGTGGATGTTTTTGGTATGGATTTATTTATGTACACATATTTACAACGAATGACATTTAAGCAACGTGGTTGTGTTGGAACTCTGCGGCGACGAGGAGCGCGGTGTTCTTGTGATCTTGCTGCTTCTGTGGACGATGGCGGAGAGAGTGAGTTGTGCTTCCATCAGGCCTTTTCTAGTCTCGCTTCTCGTTTTCGCTTCTGCGTGGTACGCCAGCCAATTAGCGGTGTTCTTTGCAGGCGTACGGTTGGTTGCCTATAGCGCAGGCAACTTGCTCGCCACAACTGGAAATACAAAAATTGCAAAATCGAAAAATTTAAAAATTGGAAAATCGAGGAACTGAAAATCAAAGATTGGAAATTTAAATAATTAAATACAATCGAAAGAAACATTGAAAAAATAAAGGAAATTAAAAAGCGAATAATTGTGATATAACCTCAAAACAATGTAAATTAAAAAATCGGGAAAAAGAAAAATAAAAATCGAAGACCTGAAAAAGTTATGGAATTGAAAAACTAAAAAATCAAAAAATTAAAAATTAAGAAACTGGAAAGTCAAAAAATGAGAAATTGTAATATCGAAAAATTACAAATCGAGAAATTCAGGAAACGTTAATTGAAAAATTTGGATGTCAAGAAATTGAAAAAATTAAAGTTGAAAAACAAAAAACTGTCATATGAAAAAATTGGTCGAAGATAAATACATTCAGATTTTTCGACAAATTTTAAGATTTGATTTTTATGATAGTACATAAGTTAATATAAAGATATATACGTAATGTTAAAGTAAATATATACAAAGAAGCGTGCTACGTGTTTGTTTCTTATATGTCCAATAAAAATCCGTACAGACGGCAGACAGACAAACAGACAGACGGACAGACGAAAAGGGGAGACCTATTTCTTCGTATTCTACGGGTCATGTAAAGTCGAGAAACCACAAGAGTATGGTATAAAGCCCTTTGGACAGATTTTCCCTCACCTTGAAGTTATGTCCAAAAAATACAATTTTTTAGATAAATTATAAAACTTTATTTTGCGAATTTATTAAATAAGAAATAAAAATCATTTTGTGCAATTAAAAAACTGTTGAATTAAATTAAAGAATGTCTTTATTTTCAGATTTCAAATACACAGCCCTCCACGAACGCTGACAACAGCTACAAATGTCACTACCTAGCAAACTTAATTTTTAAACTCCTGGGGGATGACGCAGAGTTGAGTCACAAATGACAACGAAGCCGAATTTACTCACAACTTGTTTGGTGAATATTTTGCCGCTTTGTACTTATTCGAAAATGAAATTTTTAAAGCACGCCACAAAAAATTAGTTGTGGGCGGTCGTTATAACAATATTCGTTTTTTTTTTGGATTTGATGTTAGCCAGAAATTCAAAATGTTTAGTAGCCGTAATACACAGGAATCCTGCAATTCTGGAAGGGTGTACAGATGAAGATTTAAGTTAGAAAGGTGTTATCGGGCGTGATGTTTTGAAAGTGGCTTGTGCCTGGACTAAGACTTTTCCAATTGCAGTGGAAAGAACTCTAATTTTAAATATCAACACGTTGGATAATAAAGATATGAATTATAGTGAAGAACGCATAAGATTTTCTAAATTTGATCGTTCGTTTCATGTTTTCAGAAGTTGATGGTTTTCTTCCCATTTCTTATACCTTTCTTCGACGAGAATGAGTTCACCGAAGAGTATTCTCACCCACCGTCTTGTACTACGCAATCCGGTTTGATTTTCTGATGATTTTCGAATGCTTGGGAATGTCTCCTTCCCTCAAAAACGCATACAACAAGTTAAATCCAGGGAACATTCTAGCTCTAGCGCTCTACAGCAGATCGAGACGAATTTTACAGAAACTATTTTCCGAACAACGAGACTTTTTTGAGTGGGATTTTTTGGAACAACTACCGATTTCGAACTCGGAGATTGATGAAATATTTGTTTTTGTGTTACAGCTGCCGGAATTTAAGATAAGGTTCCGAATTCGAGAGGTCAGTCTTTGATACACTATGGGTGTGAGAAAAACTTGCCCAAAACGTTGCGTTTGTTAATTCTGAAAGATGCCAAACTGCATGTTCCGAATAAAAGGGGTAGAGTTCCCATGTGTATTGCGTATGATAATGGTCACTGGGATGTATTAAAACTGCTGGTAGCGAATGTTACGAAAATCGATTTTTGGGATGATAATGGTCGGCTGCCCATGCACCATGCATGCGTTAGGGGAGATTTGGATACAATGCAGCTTTTGGTGTCGAATGGTATCTGTTATGTTTTCCACCTATTCCGTGGGGTTCATTATGGAATAACTCACGAAATCCCTGGGAAAACTTTTATTACAAATTAACACACGTCTTCCATTTTACATTTTTCAACTTATTCTCCCCCCTTCTCTGCCTCGCGCATGCTCGCGGGCAATCTGCTATCCGCAACCCACAATACATACATTACACCTTCCCCCTTAAAACTATACAATTGAAAAAGATGTACAAATATATACAGTATACAATATGCTAAAAATTAAAATACAATAACTAACCTATCTATAGGTAAGTCGCTCGGGAGGTCTAATGTGACTTCTCCGCCTTAGGACCCGAGGTGGACTCACAGGAGTAGGGGTCGCAGGACGCGCACTAACTAGTTCAGATCGTGGAGTAAAAGTTAAAGAGGAAATCCTAACTTTGATTTGGTTCAAGTGTCTTTTAACTTCTGCTCCACCATCTTGTAATGTTATCAAATAGGTGCGACAGCCTAAAACCTTTTTTATTATGCCAGCTGTCCAAGTATTTCGATTATTTCGATAATCCCGAACCCAGACTGAATCGTTAACTTTAAATTGATGATCTCTGTTGCCCTTAAAAAATTTTTGTTGTTTATCCTGTTTTTCATGGACAACATTTGTAACTGAAGGTAAGAGTAGATCCAATCTAGTACGTAGCCGACGGCCTATTAACAGAGTTGCGGGAGCTTCCCCAGTCGTCGTATGGGGGGTGTTACGATATTGAAACAAAAATCTTTGTATCAAAAGGTCGATATCCACGCTCGCGACCTCGTACAGTGCCTTCGTGATAACCTTTTTCATAATTTTTACACCGCTCTCCGCCTGTCCGTTGCTTGCTGGATGAAAGGGAGCGCCAGTAACATGTTTTATGCCATACAATTTTAGATAGTTCTCACATTCCTCTGATTTAAACGCTGTACCATTATCAGAACATATTACTTTGGGCAACCCAAAACGTGCGAAAACAGCGCGAAAACATCTAATGACCTGTGTTGTAGCTAGACTATTTACAACGAAACACTCTATCCATTTAGAGGTAGCATCCTCAATTAAGAAAAAATATTTGTTTTTAATCGGCCCAAAATGGTCGACGTGTAACCTAGTCCAGACTTCCTTAGGACAGACCCAAGGTCGTAACGTTGATTTTTCTGGTATCGGGGCTAAGCTGCCACAAGTTCTACAACTTTTAGCTAGATGCTCAATTTGTTCATTTATTAACGGCCACCACATATATGACCGTGCCAGAGACTTCATTTTAACAATGCCAATGTGAAATTCATGAAGTTCATTCAAAAGTGTGTCCCTAAATTTTGGTGGTACAATAAGACGGTAACCCCAGAGTAAACATCCCTGTTCCTGGGAAATTTCGTTTCTTTTTAGAAAAAATGGTTGTAAACGGACATCATCGATTTTACGTGGCCACCCGTTTATAACGTAAAATAAAATCTTGCTCATAATCGGATCTTTAGCCGTTTCAGATTTAATTTGTTTAAAATCGATTGGCAGCTTATTAACATTTCCCACGTGATTTAAAAACGAGATATTTTCATCCGGTTTAAGTACCGGGGGATTTACTGGAAAACGGGAAAAAAAATCCGCTATGTTTTGCTTAGACGTTACATATTTAATTTCATAGTCGAACGCTAATAAAATGTGACACCAACGTTGTAGTCGATTCGCTGCAAATACCGGTATGCCTTTTTTAGGACCAAAGATCGTCAATAACGGTTTATGATCAGTTTGCAGGGTAAACTTCCGTGCATACAAATATTGAAAAAATTTCTTTACTCCATAAATTATAGCACACGCTTCTTTTTCAATTTGGGAATATTTTAATTCCGCGGAATTCAACAATCGCGACGCGAAAGCAATAGGTCGTACTACTCCGTTATCAAACTCATGAGTAATAACCGCAGCTAATCCTACCTGCGACGCATCTACGGTCAAAGTAACTTCGCGCTCAGGATCGTAATGTGCCAAGACGTCAGGGGAAGTAAGAATCTCCTTCACCTTATTGAACGATGCGTCACATTCTGTTGACCAACTCCAAGTGGTTTCTTTTTTCAATAAACTATATAGTGGTTTTAACAAGGTTGACGCATTTGGAAGAAATTTCGAATAAAAATTCACCATCCCTAAGAAAGATTTTAGTTTAGTCACTGAATCGGGACGTGGTACTTTTAAGATTGCCTGAACATAGTCTTTATTAGTATGCAACCCATTTTTATCAATCGTATGGCCCAGATAATTCACTGATGATTGAAGGAAAGAACATTTATTAGAGGATACTTGTAATCCGCAATCTTTTAATTTTTTAAAAACATGTTCCAACCGCTCCAAGTGTTCTTTATCGTCTTTACCCGTAATTATTATATCATCCAAGAAGCAACCGACACCCGGGACATTTGATAAATATTTTTCTATAATATTCTGAAAAATTGCTGGTGCACTGGTAATACCGTACGGTAATCGCGTGTATGCATACAGACCTTTGTGTGTAGATATTGTTAAAAGTTTCCTGGTCTCTTCTGTTACCTCAATCTGTTGATAGGCTTCCGACAAATCTATCTTGGAGAATTTTACACCACCCTGAAGCTGAGAAAAAAGATATTCAATTCTTGGTAATGGATATTTTGTTTCAATTAAATAAGGATTTAAAGTGACTTTGAAGTCTCCACAAATACGAACGTCAGTTCCGTTTGCCTTAAGAACAGGTACAATTGGAGTACCCCAATCTGAAATTTCTACAGGCACTAAAATTTTATTAGCCACCAACCTATGAATTTCTTGTTCAACCTTTTCCTTCAAGGCAAACGGGACCGGCCTCGGTTTAAAATATTTCGGAACTACATTATCCTTAACATGCAAAGTTATTTTCGTTTTGTTAAATCTCCCTAATTTATTTTCAAAAATCTCCGCATAACGTTTACATAAGTTGTCGACCGAATTCACCGTTTCTATATTATCATTTTCATCAGCAATTCCTAAATGTAACATTGATAAACCATTCCTACCTAACAACGGAGGGCCTCCGTCTCTGATAACGTAAGTTTTTAGTTGATACATCTTATTATCATAAGCCACATTTAACCATAAATACCCTAATGGTTTGAACATTACACCAACATAGTCTTTGAGACACAAATCATTTTCATGCAATGTACAATTTATAAAATGTTTCAAATAGAGTTTCTCAGAAATTGCGGAGTGGGCGAATCCAGAATCCGCTTCAAAACTTAACGGTACCTGCTCTACAGTCATGTTAATATACGTAGGTTTAACATTACAATCATTGACCGTCTCAACCGCATTTAACATAAAAATCGAGTCGCTTTCCAAATCTTCCTTGGTTGCTGTAGACGACGACTCAGCATCTTCCAGAAAATGATGACCTTGCCGCGCTGTACACGCCGGCGCTAAATGACCCTTTAACCCACATTTGAAACACTTATAATTACGGAATTTACACTCGTTTGCCTTATGATTTTTCCGGCCACACACTTTACACTTCAGCACAGTACTTACATTTGTCTCCTTCTCAGTACCTTGGTGCCGATTCTTTATTTGACCTTGCCGTTGATAGTATACTTTTTCCTCCGGTTCTTTTTTCACACTCGACCTAGACTCTCTGTCCTGGTGCTCCTGTACTGACGATTCCTTGGCCAATGCTAATTTGAACATCGACTTGAAAGTGACATTCCCCTTTGTTGGATCGTGCTCGAACAGCCTCTCCATTATCTGATTATTGTTCATGCCAATAACGAAAATGTCGCGCATCAGTACCTCTAGCTCTGCACCAAATCCACACGACGCTGCCAAGCTCTTCACCCGAGTGGCCCATGCAGACACTGATTCCTCTGGGTATCTTCTTGCTGAAAAGAATTTGCTTCTCGCCGCAAAGTAAGATCGCACCGGGCTCAAATGCTCTTGAATCGTTCGAAGCAAATTTTCGAACGACTTCTCCATCGGTTTTTCGGGGAAACAGATATTCCTCACCAAGACGTACGTTTCCTCGTCTACACAGCCAATGAGGATAGCTCTTTTCCTATCTTGATCGGTAATCCCGTTCGCCACGAAAAATTGGAGGAGCCTTTCTTTGAAGGCAAAAAAATCCGACGCTTTGTGATTGAAAGATGGCGGCGCACCCACGCCAAAAACTGGATCCGGCATTTTGTCTGTAGCTACCACTTTAGGCACACTTGACTACGACAAAACAAATCCTCGTCGCCACTGTTATGTTTTCCACCTATTCCGTGGGGTTCATTATGGAATAACTCACGAAATCCCTGGGAAAACTTTTATTACAAATTAACACACGTCTTCCATTTTACATTTTTCAACTTATTCTCCCCCCTTCTCTGCCTCGCGCATGCTCGCGGGCAATCTGCTATCCGCAACCCACAATACATACATTACAGTCTCAAAGTGAATTTTTCGGAAGGAGATGGTCTGCACCCAATTCATTATGCATGTAACGTGGAAAAATTTCCAAGGACGAATGGTGATAAAGAAGTATCAAATATGGTACGATTCCTGTTACAGCATGGTGCGAATGTGAATGTTCCAGGACGAAATGGTCAGTTACCCATTCACTATACTTGTCAGAATGGATACTTAGATACAACGAAATCACTCATAGTGAATGGTGCCAAAGTCAATCATCCAGATGGAAATGGTCGATTACCCATTGATCATGCTTGTGAAAACGAACATTTAGATCTAGTAGAACTGTTGCTACGAACTGGTGCCAGATTGGATGTTCCTGATAAGGATGGTCGGCTGCCAATTCACTACGCGTGTGAAAAAGGACACTGTGACATAGTAGATTTACTGATAACGAGTGGTGCAAAAGAAGATGTTCCAGATGGAGATGGTCGACTGCCCATCCACTACGCTTGAGCACAAGAACATCTAAATCTAGTAGAATTGCTGATTAGAAATGGTGTGAATGTGAATGTTCCTGATAAATCTAGACGACATCCAATTCATTATGCGTGCGAAAAAGGACATTCTCCTGTAGTAAATTTACTGATCAAAAGTGGTGCAAAAGAAAATGTTCCAGATGGAGATGGTCGTCTGCCCATACACTACGCTTGCGAAAAAGAACTAGATCTAGTAGAATTGTTGATAAAGAATGGTGCGAAAATGGATGTTCCTGATAAGGATGGTCGGCTTCCAATTCACTACGCTTGCGAAAAAGAACATCAAGGTATATTAAAACTGTTGATAAATAATGGTGCGAAAATAGATGTTCCTGATAAATATGGCCGACTGCCAATTCACTGTGTTTGTGCAACAGAACATCTAGATCTAGTAGAACTGTTGATAAAGAATGTTGCGAAAGTGAATGTTCCTGATAAAAATGGCCGACTACCAATTCATTATGCGTGTGAAAAAGGGCACTCTGTTGTGGTCGATTTGCTGATAAAGCGTGACGTAAAGCTAGATGTTTCCGATGGAAGTGGTAGGCGTCCTATACATTATGCGTGCGAAAATAGTCATTCGAATGTTGTAAAAATACTAGTGGAGAATTCTGCAAAGTTGGAAGTTACCGATCAAAAACGTCGGCTGCTAATTCATTATGCGTCTGGAAATAACTACTTGGATCCACTAAAAGTACTGATGACCCATTCCGTGAAAATGGATGCACCCAATGCGTGCGAAAAAGGGTATTTATTAACAACAGGTTCACTCAAAACATCTGGTGCCAAACTCAATGTTGTGGATAAAAGTCAACGGTTGCCGATTCATTATGCCTGTCAGAGTCGGTATTTAGGTGTGGTAAAACTGCTGATAACTAGTGGCGCAGCGCTGGATGTTCCTGATTGCAATGGTTGGCTGCCGATTCATTATGCGTGCGAAGTTGGGCATTTAGATACAATAAAGTTACTGATAACGAGTGGTTCGGAAGTGAATGTTCCTGATGGAGATGGTCGTTTGCCCATTGACCACGCCCGAGAAAAAGGACATCTGGATTGTGTGAATTTACTTGGAGAAAATGGTGCGAAATCGGCGTAATCAACCAGTTTTCCAGCAAAATTCAAATTCAGACGCATTTTGTTCACGACTTATTAGCGTGTTTCTTATCAACGATTATGACGGAATATGTATTTATAGCAATACTTGAGTCGTTTATCGTTACACAACAAAATTTTTGGAAATCAGATCTTAAGATTGTGTCGTAACAGTACTGTGTTAATTAAAAAATAAGATCAACAAATATGTTAAGATAATAAATTTGTTAAAAACTACGAACTACTTAAGGCCAGTCCCTACGTTTTCTCAGCGGAATTTTCGCTCTATTTTCAAAATGTAATATCTCCGTTATTAACAGATCTATAGTTTTCAAATTTTAAATATATGTTGTCCATAACTTTCTTTATATAACGCAAGGGCAATTTTGTTAAAAACAGCTTGTGATCATATTATTTTCTTAATTTTAGTGAAATTTTTGCATAACGTATTTTTAAAAATCAATGTCTCAATTATTAAATAAAACTTCAGAACACGGTTTTCAACACTGTTTTCAGCTTACAAAACTCCAGAAATAATACGAGATATATCGTCTATTTTATTTTTTAGAAACGATACACAGTTAAAAAAAGCCTATATCATAGAAGTTGCTAACTTTTATTTTTACTATATCTCAGTCCCAACAAATAAAGTCAAAAATAGACCTCGTAGAATTTCTCAAGTTATGCAAGCTGAAAACAGTGGTGACAACCCCGTTCCAAAATTTCCATAAATAACTGAAATATTGATTTTTTAAAACACGTGATGCAAAAATTTCAACAAAATTTAAAAAATATATAATAATAAATTGTTTAAAAAAAAACTGCCTTCGCAGTCATGTAGTGAAATTTGTGGACAAGTTACATATAAAATTTCATAACCATTGGTGTATTAATAATGGAGATATTACATTCTGAAAATATATTGACAACACCATAAGAGCCAAACGTAGCGACTCCTCTTAAGTAGTCGACGTAATCTAGCAGTTGGTTTTAAATGCCACCCTACCAGTCTTCCACCAAAATTCAAACTCAGACGCATTTTCTTTGTTTTGTGTTTTTTTTTTATCAGCGAAAATGACGGTATACATATTTATAGTACTACTTGAGCACTGATAAGCATCAGTACAAACCAATTGAATTTTGGAAATTAGATCGATTATATTGTGTGTGTTGCAAACAATATTGTGCAAAAAAATAAGATCAACAAATACTTTAAGATAATAAATGTGTTAATATATACGAACTAAATTTAATTTTTTCCTTTTTCCTGTAAATAATGTCCTACACATTGAGTAAATATGATGGTCTACTGTGCTATGCGTTTAATTGAAGTATATAGGTTTTAATCATTAAAATACAAAACTTGATTTGGTTGTAACGGTCTTGGAAGTTCTATGATTTAATTTATTTTAAGACTCGAATGTTTTTATTTAAATTTTCTGTCAAATCTTGCATTGGGTGGCTTTTGCAGGACCATTTTAGTTTCTGTTGTTTCCTTAGTTAATTTTTTAGTCGGTTTTTCATTTTTACGTTTTTCCAAAAATAATTTTTGTGTTGTTCATTTTTTAAATTTAATTCGTTTTTTTAACATTTGACTCTTTTTTTGCATTTTCAAATAAATTTTATTTAAAGATATTTATGTACAAGAGATTTAGTAGACCATATCACAATAATTCATTAAAGCAACTGACGTAAATCACATACAAGTCAGCAGTATAAATAAGACAATTTTGGCCTCAAAATATAATTTTCAGAAAGGATTTTTGCGAATGTAAATATTTAACGATGTAGCTATAAGTGATGAAAAAATTAGGCACTGTCCCAACGCACCCTGAGACACGTTCGGTATTACATTCTTCAAACGCGGGGCTTATTTTTATTGTGTAAGCTACCCATTTTTCAGAATAACATAAAGCAGAAAAATTGTATTTATCCACAAACTGGAGCTTAAAGTTCAAAAATCTATATCCCATTTGAATTTGTATATTTCAGAGATAAAATTAAAAATGGCATACTTTTAAATAAAATCTAATCTGATCTATTAGTTCTCCATTGTGTAAATAACCTTGAATAAAAAGCACTTGTCAATGTTTTAAAAAATATATTTTTGTTAAGAGCTACTTAAAAGATATTTTTTTTTTTATAAATACTGATTGCTTTCTAGAGTCTCTGTCAAAAGAGTTTTACGAATAATCAAGTTAACACCTTAATGACAATTACCTAAAACTCTGTCATTTTAGTTGCAAGTTACAATTATTGCATAACGATTACTTTTTATTGTGATTAAACATGGCTTCGGTAAGTTATTGTAGAAAATACATTTTATAACAATTTATTTACAATTACATTTATTTATAGACTTCGAAAAGGACAAGTGTCGACGAACGAAGTGAAACACCTGAAAAATCTTCCCCGGTAAGTTAGATACTGATGTTAGTTTGTTATGTAAAAGTTGAACAGTCAGTATATACTACGCGATACGTGATAATATAATCGTTACGTGAACTTGAACTAAAACTAGCCCACTTTTGTACAGTATAGTTAGCCACTTTAATGTTAATAGTTCCGAGGCGAAGTTCAAGTGCACTTATTCCTGTCCGGATTCTGATCATAAAGTATCTCTGATAACGTGATAATACTCAGTAATTTTTTTTATATATTATTAAAACAATTTTGTTACCTAATTTATTTTCGCATACAGATACTGATCTCTTAATTTTATTGTTTAAAAATCGTTAGTAGATAGTTATATCACTGTGTCCGATCAGAAGTGATAACATTACAATGTGATGATGGAAAATTTGTATGAAATCTTGACGTGATAGAGATAAAGGTATATCTATTATACAGGGTAACGGATAGAGATATTGAAATTCCGTAAACCCCATTGTTTTTAGCTTGAAGGGCGAAGCTTAATTTAGTACATTGCAAATATTGACCCAGTTACGGTGGCGGCCTCGCGATATATTTTTTAACGAATTTTCGTAGATCGTTACCTAAGTTGTAATTACAATGATACAACACTATATTTATATCCTAATTCTTGTTGATTATAAAATAAAGTGCAAGTACTTAATATCACTCAACATGGTGAAATCACGGTCTGTGGTCTAGGGCAATTCGGCGCGGCCGACTTGGCGCGAGACATTTTGGCGCAAAGCCAACTTGGCGCAGGGACACTTTGGCGCGGACCACGGACCTAGATAAGAAGGACAAACGGCTGTCAATCCCACGGCGTTAAAAACGTGGCTCCATTTACTTTCCGTTATTTTTGGCGCGACCGCTAGAGGCGCCACCGAACACAAGCCCTAGTTTAATATGGAAGCTTAAGGAAATTTGAAAGTTTTTTTTAATTAATTTAATTCAAAAAGGATATAAAACCCTTATCAGGCGTAAAAGTTGTCTGGTTTGAGATAAATAAAACTCTAATTCATAGTTTAAGGTTACTTTTTAATTTAGAACAAGTAAAAAGTGCATTTAACAATAATAATAACAATAATGTCTTGATTGCCCAACAGTGTAAAATACACCAATTACAGGTACAACTTAAAAGAACAATTGTATGTAAAAAAAGAACTAAATAAAAAGAAAAATAAACTACGAAACGATAGATAGATTAGTGGCTAAACTCTAAACTAATACTAAATTAATACAAAAATTAATGATTATACTACTAAATATTACCTACTTTTTCCAAAAAAAAAGAAAATCTTTCAACACATTTTTTAAACGTTGAATATCTCAAATGAAATATGTCAATATCATTACAAACTTCATTATATTGTAGTCGGTTTTTTAGTAAAACTAAACTTTAATCTTCGAACGAGCGGTTTTATTAAAATTCTGTTTCGATCCCGTTGCGTCCCCTACTGCCTCCTCCTCACTGCTGCCATCTAGTTGTAGCGCCAAATTTGAAATTTTAAATGTAGGTGACCACAATTCGGCCAATCCTGACATTATGATCGTCCCGATCATATACACAAAGTAAAACATAAGGTACATAACATAATAAGTGACATAAAACATAAGGTGCTTAAACTTCAGTCACACAAACATCATAAGTTACACAAAGTAAAACATAAGGTACGTAACATAATAAGTGACATAAAACATAAGGTGCTTAAAACTTCAGTCACACAAACATCATAAGTTGGTGAAACATAAAATGTTAAAAACATAAGTCACATAAATCCAATACATAATATAACGCCTAAATAACATAATGATAAGACGCACATAAGTATCTAAAGTACATAAATCACATAAGTAATTAGGACACATAAAAATCATAAAGGTATTAGAGATGAATTAGAAAACCCAATCGCTTAAAAGACGGCTTAAAAGACGAACATGTTAGCGTCAAAACTAGAACGAGGTGGAAACAAAACTAAGAAACACAACATTATGAAATAATGAACAAATGAAACTAATCTCTTGGTAACTTATTGAAGCCAAAGCTTCATATTCTCAGGACAACATACTCCCTCAAATGGGATTTGCGTTACTTGGAAACCTTCAACGTCTGTAATCCAATAACGATCATTGCCTAATGACTTCTTGATTTCGTAGGGACCACGATACCTAGGTAAAAGTTTTTTGTTAATACCTGGTGTAACATCTATGTTTTTTATCATCACATAATCACCGACATTGTACGGTTTAGGAGGTCTATGTTTTCGGTCATACATGCGCTTATTGTATGCTTGTAACTTTTCAGTCTGAGACTGAGCCTTTTCTCGAACCTCGGCTAAGTCATCTTCTTTTTCAGCTTCAGCGCCCAATAAATTTCTTAAAGGATCGCTAGGATCGTTTTGACTAATACCGAACAATAAAACGGATGGAGAATTACCAGTGGATCTACAAAACGAATTGTTAATAGCAAATTCAACTGTTCCCAAAGCTTTCTCCCACTTGTTTGTTAAAATAGCCAATTTTGACAACATTGGTGTTAAGTCTCGATTGATTCTTTCGATCTGACCGTTTGATTTTGGTGACCCCGTCGCGACTTTAATATGCTGAGTCATATGTTCTTGAACAAATTTTTCGAACTCATTAGAGGTAAAACAGGATCCCCGATCGGATACAATACGTAATGGTACACTACAGTGCCTAAAATAATTTTCTAACTGATTGATTACTTCACAAGTTTTGGTGCTCTTGACTGCATACAGTTTTACGAATTTAGTGAAACAATCAATGATCTCAAAAATATATCTTTTACCTGTCGAAGTTTTTTCTAATGGACCATAATGGTCAATATGTATGGTGACAAAGGGTTTATTTCCCTTAGGGATATTGTGTAACTCACTCGGCACAGCGCCACCAATTGGTGAAAAGGTGATACATTTCAAACAATTTCGAACATGATTTTTCACTTTTTCTTTAACACTAGGAAATCAATAGCTGCGTTTTAGATACTCCATAGTTTTGTCCACGCCAACGTGACCGAAATTATCATGACACATAGTTAAGATCTGACTTTCCATCAACGAAGGAACGTAAAATAAAAGTTTTCCTTTGCTCTTTCTATACACTAGTCCATTCCTAAGTTCAAATTTTGTACTTTCGCGGATTTCGAGTTCAGACTTAACCTTTTGAATACTCGAATCTAAATTTTGAGAAATAGCTAAATTTTGTTCCAGTGTATTTTCCTCTAGTACTAAAATATTGTTGGCTCGACTTAAAGCATCAACATGGATCATCCGTGTTCCTGGACGATGTTGCAATTCGTAGTCATAATTTTGTAAGAATAGTGCCCACCTAGAAATTCGAACATTAATATCTTTTTTATTCAGAGTAAGCCTAAAACTATCACAGTCTGTGACAATCGTAAAATGTATACCGAAGAGATATATATGAAATCGTTTAATAGCATAAATAGCGGCTAAACATTCCAATTCAAAGCTGTGATATTTAGATTCGGTTTCGGTCGTCCTACGACTAAAATAAAAAACAGGATGAAACTTTCCCGACGACTGTTTTTGAAGTAAAATAGCTCCAAACCCAGATGTGCATGCATCGCAGTGCAGCTCTGTTTGGGTATGCGGATCATACACAGCTAAAAGAGGATAAGAAGCTAATTGATTTTTTACTTGTTCAAATGATTCAAGTTCTTTTTCATCAAACCGAAACTCAACATTCTTTTTTAACAAGTCATATAAAGGTTTTGTAAGGACGGAAAACCCATTTATAAATTTTTGAAAATAACTAGCAATACCAACAAACCTATGAACTTCCTTATCATTTGTAGGAATTGGATACTGCAAAATTGCTTCAACATTTTTCGGATCAGGTCTGATGCCATCATTGTTTACTAGATATGCTAAATAAGAAATTTCAAACATAAGAAAAGCACATTTATCAATTCGAAAAAGCAAATTGTGTTGGGAGGCTGAACCAAATACTTCTTTCAAAATATCTAAATGTTCTTCGTAACTGTTGGTCGCTATTAGAATGTCGTCTAAGTACCAAATAATTTTGTTTGCTCGAATTAATTTATTGAAAACTAAATTAATAAATCTGTTAAAAACTCTTGGGGCATTAGTTAACCCAAAAGGCATTCTAAAATATTCAAATTGCCCTAAAGGTGTGATAAAACTAGTAAATTTAATCGACGATTCTGCTACACGAACATGATGGAAACCATCCTTAAGATCAAGGGTCGTAAAATATCTTTTGTTTCGAAGTCCATCCAGATTGTCTTCTATCAAAGGAGTAGGAAAGTTGTCTTTAATAGTAATTTTGTTTAATTCGCGATAATCAACGCAAAGCCTTAAATCACCTGTCTTTTTTCTTACCAGTACAATTGGACTACAGTAATCAGAGCTACTAGGTCTAATAATGCCTCGTTCTAATAGATCATCTAACATGTTTTGTAATTTTTCTTTTTCAGAAAAGGATAAACGCCGTGGTCTAAAAGAGATTGGTTGATCATTCTTAACACAAATGTTCATTTCGTAATTACAATCAATCTTTGGCGAGTCATTACATAAATAAAAATTATCATACACTTCCAAAACTTCCACTTTTTTATCATAATCTAACAAGGATTGATCTGTACTTCTTTGTTATTTTTTATTTCTTCACCTACCTTAAAATCGACATGTAAAATTTCGTCAAAGTTATTTACTTTCTCAAATTCGTTTGAAATAATTTTTAAATGATCTCCTAACGTAAACGTGAAACCCTTGGTATTGAGAAAATCTCTACCTAATATAGCGTTAAAGGACATGGTGCTATTAGGAACTACATAGAATTTTATGGGTAAAACAGTCTCATTAACAAATACTTCCGTGTTAAAAATACCCAAAATATCAAGCTTCGATCCATTCACACCCACGAAATTTAAATTTGGATTTAGACCTTCATTGAAATTATTTTCGGTGACATACCGAACTTTTACAACTGAAATTGGG